GAGAGAGAGAGAGAGAGAGAGAGAGAGAGAGAGAGAGAGAGAGAGGAAAAAAACTTATTTAGCAGACCTCCGTAGCTGTTTAAATTCTGGAAGTGGCAATTATGAAGGAAACTTACAAAACTTTACTTCTGTTGGAGTTCTCCCCAAAGCCTGGTTCCTGATGGGTTTCTGGCTGAGCTTGTTCTTGCTGTGCACAAATGGCCTCAATGTCTCATTGCAGGTCCTCAGAACACAGATCTCAGCCAGAACTGAGCTCTGGGAAGAGTGCCCTCAACTCCGAGTTGGCTTCCGAGTTGGAACTTGTGGCTCCGGCACAGGTAACAAAAGCAAATCTTGGGAAACCCGTCTGCTCTAGCAGGAACTGCACCGTAAATATTTCATTTAAATTCTGCACAGAAAGTTTGAAGTGTTTTTCCAAACTTTGCATTGCAAAGTGTGTTCTCACCCCATAGCTGTCTCGGTGCTTAGAATAACTGTATACAGTCCCATGTATTTGGCTGGAAAACGTGCTAATGAATTCACTGTGTACTTAGCACATTTTCCTTGTGCTGCCATTGACTGTCCCATTATTTGGCAATACAAAAATCTGTTCTAGTCCAGTATTAGCACAACTTATGTAACAGAACACAAAGAAGAGGAAATTACACCCTGTGTATTCATTCATATCTGTGCCTTGTAAAGTAAGAGACCATACCCAGTATTTTGTCACATTAAAATAAATTTATGCCAAGAATTCTATTACTCCAGCACCAGCAGTAATGGTAACCATAATGAGTGCCCAGTACAGAGAACCATAGAGACTCTGTGTGTGTGTGTGTGTGTGTGTGTGTGTGTGTGTGTGTGATCTAATGCTCAGTAATCCTGTGTGTTACTCTAAGTTGTATTATAAAGGTATTTCTCACGGGAGCCTGTCAGTCTCAGTAAAGTCAACCATGGCTGCTAGGGTTCAATAGCAGGAGAAGTAGACCGTGAATCCTATCTAACTGTCCACTCTTAGCCCCTGGGCTCCTCAGCAGGCTTCATTATGGCCGCTTACCTCTCCTATGGTTCCGAAAGAAGCAATGGCAGTCTCTGCGTTTAAGGCTTTACCCTTCAACCACAAAGATCTTCTAAGAACCGTGTGTGTGTATCCCTGCCTTCTGCAGTCCAACTGCAGTGAGACTAAATATGGAAGAAAATGAGCAGAAGAAAGGTTCTTAAATTTGTCACATCACAGGTTGTGGCTCACGGGGAATATAGATCTCAGGTGAAATAAGGGGATAATTGGAGCCAGAGCGCTAACTCAGCAGCAGGAGCATGCACTGCGCTTGCACAGGACCTAAGTTTAGTTCCCAGGACCCATGCTGGGCAGCTCACCATATCCTGTAGGACCTGCTCTCAGGGAGTGAGCTCCCTCTTCTGATCCTACAGGCGCCTACACACATGCACATTTATACATAAATAAAAATAAAATAGATATTTCAAAACTAAAAGATAATTATGACAGCAGTGGGTATTATTGTTGGCTGTCAGAGTTTCCTATGTAAATAAGCTGGTGTGGGAAGTTTCCTATGTAAATGTTCTGACGGAAGGCAGAGCAAGGCAAGCTCTGCCTTTACCTCATTGTACAGACAGGGAAACCAAGAAATGAAGAAAGTTATCTGTGAACTCACACTAGAAAGTGGGACAGAGAAGAACTCAGAAGGCCAGTGATAAGGGCGGGGCTCTGGGAACTTCCTAAGTCACCATTCACCTCACACATTCATCACCCTTGGCAGAAAGGACATGGCTGATCTCAGGCTACAGCTAGATATCTGTTCAACTCTCGTCCTGAACACATCATCTTACAGACATTAATGAACTGCAAACGCAGCATGAAAAATGAATTTTTGGTGCTCATTTTAAAGGTATCTTCTTAAGAGAAAAATGGCAGCCTCCATTAGAAAAGCCACATCTTAAGTGCACAAGCGAGCTTGCTTCGTGCTTCATCTGCTGTCGTCCGTGGGACGGTGAAATAGAGTGGCAAAGCAGGGAGAGACTTGGCACAGGTGGGCCACTCTACAACAAGCTGGACCAGAGGAACAGTTGGGGCCCCCAGTTGTCATAGAAACCCACAAGGCATTTATCTTATTATCCCAATGACTACTAGTCTCCTGCTAGTTCCACCCCACCACACTGTCCTATTTACCCCACGCCAACACGGTGCACTTTGGACAATGGTTTTCAGCTTCCCCATGTTGTCTTTCAAAACACACCTTCCAATGTATACCGAGAGTCCTCCATTCAGGTGAATCTCGGAGATACTGAGATACTGAGTACTCCTCTGTCACATTGTCAGACCCTGTATGTTTACGGATAAGACTTGTCTAAAAAAAATCATACTCTTCTAGTTTTGATTCCAAGTCATAGCAAATTAGGAAATGTTCACAGGCTTGCTGCTCTACCTGAAACACAGAGTCATTGAAACAAAGCTAGAGATTAGATAGATAGATAGATAGATAGATAGATAGATAGATAGATAGATAGATAGATGATATAGATGATAGATAATATAGATGATAGATAGATGATATAGATGATAGATAGATAGATAGATAGATAGATAGATAGATAGATAGATAGATAGATAGATGGATGGATGCAAGAGGAGACTGCTGGGATATGGCTCATCAAAGCTCTTGTTTTGTAAACATGAGGACCTGAGTTTCATGTGGAAAAAAAACTGGGTGTGATGGCACACACTCACAATCCCAGCACAGGAAAGGTCGAAATGGGAGGAGGGGGGAGGCCTGAGACTCACTGCTCAGTCAGCCTGACAAGTAGCAGGCCAAAGAGGAATGTGCCTCAAAGAACAAGGCGTGTGGAACCTGCGGGATGACACCTGAGGGAGGACACTTGAGGTGGACCCCTAGTCACCACATGTACACGCTTATGTGTGTGCGCATGCGTACACACACAGTACTGTTAGGAACACGCTACTCGCCACTGCCTGGCCTCCGTGTGTAGATACAGTGGGATTATAATGAAGAGAGAACAATATTTCATATCAAGACTAACTCACAAGTCACTCTGACCATCTGACTCAGCAGAACCCACTCCAGGCTCACCCAGATGGCTCACAGGAAAACCTAAATCATCCCAGCTGGTGACTCAACAGGTGGGGGCTATTTACAAACCTCATTTACAAATCACAAAGAAAATGGGAACGCATAACATGAAAACTTAGTTTTCTCATTTTCTTTTCAAGGTGGAAAAGAGAGAGAGAGAGAGTATAGTGTAGTCTCAAATGGTGACCTGAATAGAAAACTCAGAGAAGTGAGCCATCGCAGTGAGTTACATGGTTGCTGTGTACTCAAGGACAGTGATTCTTGACACTTGGCAGAAACTATATCATTGCCATTCCATAAATGTAACTGCTCAAAGAGATCATATGATTTGAAAAGTTATTTTAAAGCATTTGAAGATCTGAATAAAACGCAGAAGGAAAGGCTGTAAAATTGCCTTTTCCCATCTGGGTGCGGTATCTCTGGGTGAGGCAGAGGAAGAGAATTCAGCTTCTTCAGCAGACGTGGTCCAGACAGCTCCCTCCCTATTCACACACTGGAGGCTCCACCAGGGGCTCAAGCCTCAGCTTCACTGGCATGAGCTGCAGCAGGCACTCCAGATGCGGGTCATCATCACATGACTGGCAACTGACCACTCCAGCCACACAGAGCTTTGCCATGGGTCATCACTGCCTTCAGAGTTTCTCAGTAAAGCCTGCAATGCCCACCAGCCACACAGAGCTTTGCCATGGATCATCACTGCCTTCAGAGTTTCTCAGTAAAGCCTGCAATGCCCACCAGCCACACAGAGCTTTGCCATGGGTCATCACTGCCTTCAGAGTTTCTCAGTAAAGCCTGCAATGCCCACTGCTTACTTCAGCTTTCATAGCATCTCATTTCACATTAAAAAATAAAAGTTGTTTCCCAAAAGTTGCATATCTAAGGAGAAAAAAAGTCAGGATTTAAGTTATACCTGTTAAAATCTGTGAACATTGTTCCCAACCCCAGAAGATCCCCTAGTATCAGCCACCATGTGCTGCTCACCTGAAGAACTCAGAAGCCATTGTTACTCTTATTATCTCAAAGCTCAATTACTATTTAATTCTGTTAGGTTAACACGAGTTGAACAATGTTCAAGAATATCTGTTACTTTCTTATAGAAACTTTGTAAGACAATTAGAATTTTCATACAACTAATTCTCCTCCCAATTCGTCACCTTATTTTTAGAAAAGCTGTTGGCTCCCAACTCAGTTCAACAGATACACTTGGGTGTCTGCTGTCCTTACAGCCATAAGTGAGGCAGTTAGTGGGACACATGGGTTAGGTTATAAGATTTGTTTAGAGGAATCCAAGTGTCACACCACAGAGATCCTGCACACCCATGTTATTGAATGACTCGTCAGTGTAGCCATGTTCTGGACTCCCCCGGCTCTCCAGAGCACAAGTGAGAAAATGTGGCACACATACACCAGAGAGTGTCATCAAGCCACTAAGGAAAGGGACCATAGATCTTTTCAGGAAAATCACGTTAAGTGAGATAAGCCAGGCTCAGAAAGACGCCAGGCTCAGAAAGACACGTCTCTTATGTGTAGAATCTAGACTTAAGGAAAAACATTTGAAAGGAGACGGGGAACTCTTTGAGAAGAGAAAGGAGGCTGGTGGTGGGTGGGTGGTGAGAGACAGGATCAAGCAGTAGGGGAGGGAATGAGATCAGATGGTTTAGGCACTTAGGAGATGCTCAGCAGTTAAAAGTGTGCATTGCTCTTGAAAAGGATCTGTTTGGTTCCCAACACCCTGTAACTCTAACTGTGGGCCTCTGGACTCCATAGACACCTGCAATCATGCACATGCACACACACCACTTGAAATTAAAATCTTTTAAAAACATACACTATACACTTGTATAAAGGGGAATGTCTACCGGGGTTGAGGGCAGGGCCCAGCAGTAGGGCAGCGATAAGTTGGGATGGTATGGGGTATGGGTAGGGATTTGGGGAACAGAATCTAGGAAGTGGGGCAGTTCAGTCAGCAGGGTCACTCAACTGTTCTGATTGGTGTGGAATAGTTGTTTTGTTTTGTTTTGTTTTGTTACTCTTTGGGGGCCCACACCCAGCCCCCACATAAATATACGGAGACTTATTCTTACCTGTAAATGTCCTGCCCTGGCTTGGCTTGTTTCTAGCCAGCTTTTCTTAAATTAGCCTGTATATCTTTTGCCTCTGGGATTTTACTTTTCTTTACTCTGTATACCTTTCTTTCCTTCCTACTCCATGGCTGGTTGTGTGGCTGGGTG